AACTCCCTTCTCACTGGCCTACCCAAACAAACGCTATTCCCACTCCAGTCTATCCTGAACTCAGCAGCTAGACTCATCCACCTCACCAACCGCTCCACATCTGCCACCCCCCCCTCTGCCAATCCCTTCACTGGCTCCCGAATGCCCAGCGCATCAAATTCAAATTACTAACTCTGACCTACAAAGCCCTTCACAACGCCGCCCCAAACTACCTAACTGACCTGATACCCAAATACCACCCTACCCGTTCCCTTCGCTCCTCACAGGACCTCTTACTCTCTAGCTCCCTGGTCTCCTCCTCCCACGCCCGACTGCAGGACTTCTCTAGGACTTCCCCCATCCTCTGGAACTCACTACCCCAATCCATCAGACTGTCACCTACCCTCCTTACCTTCAGGCGCACCCTGAAAACCCATCTCTTCAGGGAAGCCTACCCCACCCTCACCTAACAACCAATCTCCTCCACTTCTCCCACCACTCCATCCCCCACAGCCACTTCCTCCTGTACCACTATCCCCTCCCTCTTAGATTGTAAGCTCGAAAGAGCAGGGCCCTCGAACCCCTCATGTATTGTATTGTAACTGTTTTGTCTCATGTCCTGTCCCCCTCGTTATTGTACAGCGCTGAGCAAACCCTTTGGCGCTATATAAATACTGTATAATAATAATAATATAAATAAATGAATGAAAAATTAACAAAATGTGACACAGTAAATAAGTCCCAGAATGAATATAATAGTCCCAAAAATAACAGACACAGTAAATCTTCAGCAAAAGCCATGAGACATTCAGTGGTCACTGCAAACAAACAATCCACCAGCTAGTGTACGCGGTCACCTTCAGACTGCAACCCGCCAAGGGTCAAAAGGCATAAACCACTCAAACGATGATCTCAATAAGAGTTGACCTCAGTAGTAAACAAACAAGGACTCCTCTCTGGTGAAAATGGCAAGCACTCACATGCGCAACTCAGATGTCCTTATAAGGATATGGCCATAGATCTCTTTCACCTCCAATATCCCCACACAGAAGATTAAACAAGAAAACTTCCCATAGTGTAGTAAGTTAAAAGATTTATTGTAAAAAATACACAGTAACTACTTGCATTAAAATCTAGGGTCCATAGACCCATACAGGCAAAAGCACTGCAACAAACTGCAGACAGGTGTATGTGGTTGGGAGTACCAAGATGGCGGCTGCCGTCTGTACTGGAAATGACGTCACCACGCTTCCATCCTATGCATTACGTCACGAGTCATGTGACTTCATCAGGGCCTGACAAAACCCATGACAAAGAAGGTGTGTCCTTTGAAACGTGTTGCTGCCCCCCTCCTTGCCCTCCCCTTCCTCTCTCTCTCTACAGTGTTTGGAGATCCACGAGGCAGTGTCAGTGGTGTTAGCTATGCCAGCTGGGGGATTCTAAATGATCACCTACTTCCTACACTTGGAATGGTTTCTATGTTGAGATCTGCAACAAAGTTGTTTGTCAAGATTTACACTGTATGGAGATCCCGGGGCAGTGTCAGCGGTGTCGACCATTAGTGGAGTTTGACAGCTATCAAACTCACTCCTTATGCCGGCTGAGGGATTCTGAATGGTCATCTACTTCACACACTTGGGATTGCTTCTATGTTGCGATCTGCACCAGAGCTGTTTGACAAGAACTTTACACGTGAGTGTACAATTTTTAAATTGTTCAATAAAACTACATGTATTGCTGACGGAGATCCTGCGCTGCTGTTCTAGATATGAGTGTGGGTTTCCTGGAGTTCACACTATCTGTGTTTGGGGACCTACCACCACAATCCACATACAATCATGGCCAAAAATATTGGCACTGTCAGATAATGCACATATTTGGCAGATAAACAACATATTTCTGTCAGATAATGCACCAATTCTCCCAGAAAATTGTTGCAATTACAAATGTTTAGGCATTCTCATGTTTTTATTCCTTTTGTTTGTATTGGTAGGACACAAAAAAGTGGAGAAACAAAAAGCCAAATCTGACACATTCCAAGCAAAACCCTAAAAATGGACTGAACAAAATTATTGGCACCCTCAATTTAACATTTGGCAGCACACCCCTTGGAAAAAATAACTGAAATCAATGCCTTCCTGTAACCATCAATGAGTTTCTTCCACCTCTCTACTGGAATTTTGGACCACTCTTCTTTCGACAACTGCTCCAGGTCTCTTAGATTGGAAGGGTTATTTTTCCCAACTGCTTTTTTGAGATCTTTCCACAGGTTCTCTATGGGATTGAGATCTGGACTCATTTGCTGGCCAGTTCTGTACTCTTCAATGCTTTGTCTGAAACCATTCCTGGGTGACTTTTGACGTGTGCTTTGGGTCATTGTTCTGCTGTAAGACCCATGACCTCTGACGGAGACCCAAGTTTCTGAAACTGGGCCCTATTGTGCACCCCAGAGTTCTTTAGTAGTCTTCAGATTTCATAATGCCATGCACACGGTCAAAACATCCAGTGTCTGAAGCAGCAAAGCAACCCCAAAATATCAGTGATCCTCCACCATGTTTGACTGTTGGGACTCATTTCTTTTTCTAAAAACAGTAGAATCATGGGCTTTACCAAAATGCTGTAATTTTGTTTCGTCTGTCCACAGCACATTCTCCCAAAAGGATTTTGGCTTCCTCAGGTAAGTTTTGGCAAACTCCAGCCTGGCTTTTTTATGTTTGTGTCAGCAGTGGGGTCCTCCTGGGTCTCCTACCATAGCAACCCTTTTCATTCAGATGGGGACAAAATAGTGTGAGCTGACACAGTTGTACCCTGTGCCTGAAGGTCAGCTTGAATTTGTCTGGAAGTTGATTGAGGTTCTTTATCCACCATTCAAACAATCCATTGCAATCTTTGATCAAGTTTTTCTGTTTCATCCACATCCAGGGAGATGAGCTACAGTGCCACGGGCTGTAAACGTCTTGACAATGTTGCTCACAGTGAACACAGGAACATTAAGATCTCTGGAGATGGACTTGTAACCTTGAGATTGTCTATGCTTTTCCACAATTTTTGTTCTCAAATCCTCAGACAAATCTTTGCTGCTCTTTCTCATCTCCATGCTCCATATGGCACACAGAGGCACACAACAGAAAGGCTGAGTCACTTTTTCACCATTTTAACTGGTTGCTGGTATGATTTCTATATTGTCAGCACCTGGTAACTGATACGGGTTATTTTTATTATAAATTACATATTATCACACACTTGGAATGCAATTATTTCTTCTTCTTTGAGAAGGTGCCAATAATTTTGTCCAGTCCATTTTTGTGGTTTTGTATGGAATGTGTCAGATTTGGCTTTTTGTTTCTCCACTTTTTTGTGTCATACCAATACAAACAAACGAAATAAACATGAGAATGCCTAAACATTTGTAATTACAACAATTTTCTGTGTGAAGTGGTGTATTATCTTACAGAAATGCAAGGGTGCCAGCAGGGGTGGACTGACAACTCATGGGGCCCCGGGGCAATAGGGGATCATGGGGCCCCTGTGTCCTTGCCCAAACTCAAAAAAGCCTATGAAAAAAGTACCAGGGGCATCTCATGGGGCCTCCTACTGACCCCAGGCCCTCGGTGAGTGCCCGAGTTTTCAAATGGTCAGTCCGCCCCGGGTGCCAGTATTGTTGGCCAAGACTGTACATATTATATTGGGACAATGTGTCCGTGCCAATAGACATCAGTAGGACTGTCATGAGGATGCATGGAACACCAGTACATCTCTGAGTAGGTGAACACGGCCCTGCACAGACACACGGTATTGTACACACCGTATGAATTAGACCTAACCCTAAGTTCACAACTAAGAATTTTCTGCAGCGTTTTGCAGAAATGCAGTATAGTCCATTTAACATGATTTCCTATGGGACATGTTCACACCTGTACATTTTCACCCGCTGTGTTTTTTGGAAAGGGTCAAGAACTTTTTTGAATGCAAAAAGTTGCGTTTTTGTTTTTATAGACTTCAGTGGAAACGCTGCAGAAAAGCATGTATTGCGTTTTTGCCGCGGTTTGCATTTTAAATCTGCCTAGCAACAAGAAAAGTAAAAAAAAAAAAGAATAAATCCTGCAAACCTTGTCAAAAACGCAATGCAGAAATGGCTCAAAGGGAGGCTATAAACCCTGTCTCCTAGTGGGGAGATTTCCCCTCACTTCCTGACCTATAGCTGCAACAGGAAGTCAGAGGAAATTCCTGGTAGTTGCTTCTATTGGAAGATTCTTCCATTTCTGTTTTGGTAACCGGTTTAATTCTACGTGATAGTTTTCACCAGGACATATAGAGAGGGTGAATCTCCCCAAGGCTTGGTTCACATCTTTGCAGATGGTTCTGCTGTAGGGCCCACAGAAATACCCGCAGCTGCACCACCCACACAGAGGAATGCGTACTGAAAACCTTGGTTCCCACACGGACTGCGATTTCCTGAGTAGTGCAGGGACATGGGAGTCCATTGAATGGGCTCTCTTCTCCACGCAAATCGCACAGATGCAAACCAGGGTAATGGGGACACAGACAACAATAAAACTGGACAGGGGTTCTAATCCTCCTCTGCCTTAGCCAAAAGTATAAAAAAAAATTTATTGGAATACTTTGATACTGTAATGGAGGTATCAGTGACAGAGGGATGTCTGGCTGTGTGAGGTACCACAAGAGGACGCCCTCACAGCTCACACAACCGGGGTGTCTCGGAGGGACGAGCACCACCCAGCGGCAGGAAGGGAGGAGTGCACGTCCGGAGGGAGGCCGGGGATGCGGCCGTCCTATAAGCAGGGAAGGGAAACGGTGGGGAGAATGTAGTGAGCTGAGCTCTATAACAAAGTAACTTTCGCAGTCATGGAGTGAGCGGAGTGTGAGAAGCCCGGGCTGTCCCGAGGTCGGTGTGCGGACTGGAGGGGCGGGGACAGTGCTGACCGGGCGGACTTGTCTTCTTCTTGGTCCGCAGGTCGGGTGAGGAGTTGAGGCGGACGCAGAGCCCCGGGGAGCTCAGCATGGACGAGACGCTCCTGGAGGAGGCTCAGGCCAGGGAATTGGTGGCCAAGAAGAGGATGGCCTGGGCCAAAAGCCGAGATTCCTGGCAGGCGTCCGAGGCGGCAGACCAGGTCCCGGGGGAGAGCGGCACCATCCCCTCCACCGGGCAGGACAAGCCGCGGGAGCGAGCAGGTTAGTACCGGGGGGACCTATGGGGGGGCAGCAGAGGAAAAAACTACCCAGTACATCCTGCCCCATGTCATGGCTGCCCCATCTCATTACATACAACCTGATGGTGGCCATACATGGATCAATCACTGGGGTCACCACCTGACCCTACACAGATCAGTCACATCATTCAGTGGATGATTGGTACAGTACTATGGTTGGGTCTAGAGATTGATTACCCATCACTACCTGATCATCTATGGTGGCCATACATGTACCTGTCCCACCCAATCTAAAGTTGGCCATACATGGATCAATCACTGGGGTCACCACCCATGACCACCTGACCCTACACAGATCGGTCACATCATTCAGTGGGGTGATTGGTACAGTACTATGGTTGGGTCCAGAGGCTGATTACCCATCACTACCTGATCATCTATGGTGGCCATACATGTACCTGTCCCACCCGATCTAAAGTCAGCCATGCATGGATCAATCACTGGGGTGACCACCTGACCCTACACAGATCGGTCTCATCATTCAGTGGGTGATTGGTACAGTACTATGGTTGGGTCCAGAGGCTGATTACCCATCACTACCTGATTATCTATGGTGGCCATACATTTACCTATCCCACCCAATCTAAAGTCAGCCATGCATGGATCAATCAATCACAGGGGTCACCACTCATGACCACCTGACCCTACACAGATCAATCTAATCGTTCAGTGGATGATTGGTACAGTACTATGGTTGGGTCCAGAGATTGATTACCCACCACTACCTGATCATCTATGGTGGCCATACATGTACCTTTCCTACCCGATCTATGTTCGGCCACACATGGATCAATCACTGGGGTGACCGCCTGACCTTACACAGATCGGTCTCATCGTTCAGTAGATGATTGGTACAGTACTATGGTTGGGTCCGAAGAATAGCTATCACCACCTGATCATCTATGGTGGCCATACATGTACCTGTCCCACCCGATCTAAAGTCAGCCATACATGGATGAATCACAGGGCTCACTACCTATGACCCCCTGACCCTACACAGATCAATCTCATACTGGTTGATTGGTACAGTACTATGGTTGAGTTTAGAGAATAACGATCACATCCTGATCATTTGTGGTGACCATACATGTACCTATTCCACCCGATCCAAAGCCGGCCATACATGGGTCAAAGCCGGTTCAGCAGGTACAGCCCAAATTTTGATCCATGTATGGGCAGGCTGGTTACACAGGAGTCGATCTACTGATCATCTTCTGTACAACTACCCTATTGGGTTTTTCCTGATTGATCAGTTTTGCAGATTCTAGCCAACAACAATGATCTGTGTATTCTGACGGTGAGGAAAGACTCCTTGCAGTGAGAATACAACAACTCAGCGGTAAGGATTCCCCCATCCATATCAGGAATGTGGATGGGGGAATTGCGTCATTTTCTTTTCATTCAAACTGCTGGTTGAACAAAAAAAGACTAATGTATGGGCAGCCTTACATCAGATGCACTGATCAGTAAACAGTCTGGTTCAATACTATGACCAAATCAATACCTGATCATGTGGAGGTCACACACTTGCCTATCAATACCCGGTCTTACACATGATTCATTGATCAGTGAGCAGTCTGGTTCAATACTATGGTCAAATCTAGAGATCTCTTAATACCCATTAGTACCTGATTATACACATATCAATTTCTTTGTGTAATGAACCGATCCATTCAATATTATGGTTGAGTCCAGAGATTGATTACCTATTACTACCTGATCTTACATGGGTTTCATTGAACAGTCTGGTTCAGTATTATGGTCAAATCCAGAGGTTGTTAAATACTTATCAGTACCTGATCTTATGGTGGCCATACTACGTACTTATCAGTACCTGATCTTATGGCGGCCATACCACGTACTTACCAATACCTGATCTTATGTTGGCCTTACACGTACTTATCAATACCTGATCTTATGGTGGCCATACACGTACTTATCAATACCTGATCTTATGGTGGCCATACACGTACTTATCAATACCTGAGCTTATGGTGGCCATACACGTGCTTATCAATACCTGATCTTATGGTGACCATACATGTATTTATCAGTACCTGATCTTATGGTGGCCATACATGTATTTATCAGTAACTGATCATATGGTGGCCATACACGTATTTATCAGTACCTGATCATATGGTGGCCATACACGTATTTATCAGTACCTGATCTTATGGTGGCCATGCATGTACTTATCAGTACCTGATCTTATGGTGGCCATGCATGTACTTATCAGTACCTGATCTTATGGTGGCCATGCATGTACTTATCAGTACCTGATCTTATGGTGGCCATGCATGTACTTATCAGTACCTGATCTTATGGTGGCCATGCATGTACTTATCAGTACCTGATCTTATGGTGGCCATGCATGTACTTATCAGTACCTGATCTTATGGTGGCCATACATGTACCTTTCAATACCTGATCTTACACATGATTCATTGGTCAGTCTTGATAAGTTCAATACAATGTTTAAATCTAGAGGTCATTGCCTGTCACTACCTGATCTTACACATATCAATCTCAATGTTCAATGCACCAATCCATTCAATAATATGGTTTAGTCCAGAGATCATTGATTATCTACCACTACCCAATCATGTGGTGGCTTTACACACACCTATCGCTTTCTGACCTTACACATGATCCATTGATCAGTGAACGGTCTGGTTCAATGCTATGGTCAAACCTAGAGACCATAGACCCATCACTACCTGATCTTACACATATAAATTTTGTTCTTCGATGAACCAATTGGTTCAATATTATGTTCAAGTCCACAGATTGGTTACCTATCATTAACTGATCTTACATATTGTTCACTGAGCTGTCTGGTTCAATATTATGGTCATATAGCACAGTAGCTAAATGGTTAGCACTTCCGCCTGGCAGTACTAGGGTCGTCGATTCGAATCCCAGCTACGGCACCACCTGCCTGGAGTTTGCATGTTCTCCCTGTGCCTGCGTGATTTCTTCCGGGTACTCCGGTTTCCTCCCACACTCCAAAGACATGCTGGTAGGTGAATTGGCTCCTGTCTAAATTGGCCCTAGTATGTGTATGTATGAATGTGAGTTAGGGACCTTAGATTGTACGCCCCTTGAGGGTTAGGGACTGATGTGAATGTACAATATATATGCATAAAGCGTTGTGTAAATGGACGGCGCTATATAAGTACCTGAAATAAATAAATATCTAGAGGTTGTTCAATACTTCTCAATACCCGATCTTATGGTGACCATGCACATACCTATCACTATCTGATCTTACACATGATTCATTCATCAGTGATAAGTCTATGGTCAAATCTAAAGATCGATGAATACCCATCACTACCTGATCTTACACGTATCATTGTTCAGTGAACTGATTGTTCAGTATTAAGCCTAGTATACATGATCAGAAAATCGTATGGGGGAAAAATACCGCTTTCGAACTGATCGTACAATATTGTGATTGTTAGTGCACAACTTTCGTCCAAAATTATCCGAAGGTTCAAGCACGAAAATGTTTCTCGTATAATACCAGATCGTACGATGTTCATTTATTCCGTACAGTTCTCATCCGAAAATAAAATGCATTACATCAGTTTCTAATTTTTATCCTATCATACAAGAATTTTCGTAACTTTAACCTCTTCACTTTCGATATTAGACTAGCATGCAACATAAAAATGGCCCATAATTCATCCGATATTCACATTGTGTGTACGGGGCCTTATGGTTGAGTCCAGAGATTGATTACCTCATCTTATATGTGGTTCATTGAACAGTCTGGGTCAAATCCAGAGGTTGGTGAATACTTCTCAATACCTGATCTTATCAATACCAATAAGAGTCTGGTTCAGTACTGTGGTCAAATCTAGAGATTGTTGAATACCCATTGCTACCTGATCTATCGCATATCAATCTCTCTGTTTAATGAACTGTTTGATTCAATATTGTCATTGCGTCCAGAGATTGATTACCTATCACTAGCTCAAATTACATGTGATTCATTGATAAGTGAACAGACTGGTTCAATACTATGGTCAAAAACCCAGAGGTTGCTGAATACTTATCACTTCCTGATCTCATGTTGGCCATACGTAAAATGATTTTTTTATTTACGATTGTGTACTCAATCGATTTTGTTTTTGTCGGGGATCAAAACGCAATCAGAAGAGCAAAAGGGATCAAATGATGCATCATACACCTAACTTTAACAATAGATCTACTTTCCTGTGATTGAAATTTCTGCCCATACCCACCAGAAAAGTGTGTGTTTGTGTTTTGATTAGATCATTGCATGTTTGGCCAATATTGCACTGTCATTGTCCAATGATCAGTCTGATTCAATATACTGGTCAAATGCTTTTTACTTCTCAATCTTGTATGTATCAATTTCATTGTTCAGTTTTGTGGTTGAATCCTCACTCCCTGATTTAATCATTAAAAGCTTATTGTCCAATGAACAGACAGTATTCTGGTCAAATCTATAGATTGTTAAATGCTTTTTTACTACCTGATCTTCTATGTGTCAGTCTCATTGTTCAGTGCTGCTGTGATTGAAACCAGAGACTGTTGAATCGTATTACAGCCTGATCTTCCTTTTAACAGTCGCATCGTCCATTGAACATTCTAGTTCAATATCACATCTAGTGCTTGTAGAATACCTATCACTACCTGATCTTGCATGTATCAATTCCCATTGTTCGGTGGATCACTATTGTGGTTGAATCTGTCATCATAGCAGTAGTAGAATAGTAGGCTGATTTCACACTGATCCGCTTTTGGTGTGTTCTTCAGTTAAGAAAAGCAGAAGAAAACTGGTCCATTGCGCTTAAACAAAATCCAGCTTGCTGCATTTTGTGTGCATGTTTTTGTTCTGGTAAAAAAAAAAAATGCTTCAGAAATGCATCCCTCCATTGAAACAAATGGAAACCACATCAAAAACACAACGCACCTGTGGGAAGTTTT